AGTGAACACTGTAACCGAGGTCACAGTGAACGCCGTGAACTAGTTCACAGCAAACGCCGTGAATTGCATAACAGCAAACATTGGTAATAAATTAACGGCGTTGACAGGACATTTTTTGTAGAGTGTCACACGTTCGGTTCGAGTCCCATTTAGCGACTCTGCACCGTAAAACGTATCTAGAGTTTTGGCCGCCTCCACCGGTCTTCTGGCCCACTGTGGGCAGCTACGTGATGCGTGCAAGCCAAAGATCGTCAACGGGTGGATCGCGATGGATCGTGCTCCCGAATGTCGGTTCGGGTCGGTTCCGAACCAAACCGAAGCGCCGGTTTTGGCCCAAACCGTTGACCAGCTTCAAGTCCCGGCGGCGCCATAATTTTTTTTCGCGACTTCAGAGCTGCAACCGCAACAAACATTTCACGGCACACATAAATACCGTGGAGATTCTTTTTCAAGAACCTGAAGGGTACCAGAGACCGACAAAAATGCAGGCATCTGCCTGGACTCGAAGCTGGGCCAGTCGCCGGCCGGGCCCACGCCCGCCAGGGCTTGGCTCGGGACCGACCCAGGCCGACGTTGGCGAGCACGATCCAACGCGATCCACCCGTTGACGATCTTTGGTGCAAGCAGCGTCTCGTGACGACAGGCGGGTGGGGAGGGCTGTGCGCAACGCGAGGGACGCACTTCAAGAGTACTAGGTAGCTGGGTTTGGATGTTATACGCCGCGCGCGCAACCCGAGCCCCGCAGCCGCCCTGATTCCACAGGGGGACTCGTCGGCGCAGCGCGGCGCGCTCCACGGCCCTCCGCTCTCCGCTCATAAAATTCTAGACAAGCCAGCCAGGCGCTCGGCCTCGTCTAGGCTGGGCAGCCAGGCAACCACTGCCGGGCCAGCCGGAAACTCGGTACTCTCCGCACTCTGCAAACTCAACAGTACACTCTAGTTACACGCTAACAGAGTGTACTGAGTACACTGTTGAGTTTGCAGAGCACGAGAGTTCAAGCACGCTGATACGTGAACGTGTCATCTGCTAAAAAGTCATAGTAACGTGCTGAGAGTACACTCTACGCTGTACCAATCGAAAAGCGGGCATTGCATGCACTGGCTAGAGCGTGTTTGCAGGCACTCTGCAAACTCAAGTGTGTGCCAGGCATGCACTTCTTGGTCGAGGGGTTACCCACTCCGGGAATCATGTGTACACTCAGTCCGGGAATCATTCGTAAATCTTTTAAAATTTGATGGAAAATCCTCATAGTTTCAATTTAAAGTCATGGTAATCATGTGATACACACAAAAACATTCAAATACAAAGAAAATTATTCGAAAGTTTTCTCTTTTTCTCGTGGATATGTTCTGGGAATCGCGGGAATCCGGAATCGTGTGTACACTAAAACAACGAGTGGGTAACCCCTCGCTTCTTGGTGCATGCCTGCAGGCACACACTTCCTGGTGCATGCCTCAGGCACACACTTGCTTGTATGCATGCACCAAGAAGTGCATGCCTGGCGCAGAGCATGCATCAGGTACAGCATACGCTTTTCGATCTGTAGAGCGATTGAAGTGTGAAGACTGGAAGCTCCACACGCCTGTGGAGAATAATTAGAATAATTACGCTACACCAGTGTGCAATTCTCCTGGTCTGGCAAAGCGGTGGGGGCGTTTTTAGATCAGGGTTTCGCTGCTCGTTTTTGGTCACGCTGTCATTGTCACCCCGGCACTGCCGGAGCTGAGCAGCGCGTTGGCGGCGATACAAAAAGTCTCAATGGTCGCGCGGTCCATGCGCCGGCTCACCCCCGCCTGGCAGCCACGCCGCGCCTCCATCATTCATCGGAGCCGTGGCTAAGCACGACTCCGTGACCAAAAACGGGCAACGAAAGGCCTTGTTAAAAATAGACGACCGCCTGTACACTGATCACGACGAGAGGGTATGCGCTCTCTGAACCTGTGTACCGACTATTACGCTATTACGCTCTATTACGCCACATCGGAATTTAGCTAAAAACGGCCTAAAACACACCAAAATTGATAAAATTTTGACAATTTCAGCTATTACGCGACTATTACAGATAGAGTGAACCGACTATTACGCGAGTGCATACCCCCTCGGATCACGAACTGGCCGGACACAGGGCATTCATTGTGAAGACAGCAGGCGCTGCGTCGCCGGGCTCTGCACAGAGCAGTCGTCTTCCGGGACGAGCCGGGGCTACCGAGTCCACACAGTGCGTCGCCGCGTAGCACGCCAGCGTTGGGAGCTCCACAATTGAAATGCGGAGGTGTGGAACGTGCAGTCTCCGCACTCGGAAGTGCAGAGTTTGTAATATCCTTCCTTTTCAAGTGTGGGGTGTGGACCGTGGAGTTCTCCTCGATTACACCATGCCGGGAGATAGGAAGGGGCTCTAAGGGCGTGAGCTAGGCAGGCGCGGATCCAAGGGGGGGGGGGGGGGGGGGGGAATGGAGGCGTTGCCCCCCCCCCCCTGAAGGCGGCAAAGCCGCCTGAAAGGTAGGCAACTTTCGCGACATCCCCCCTCCCTGAACCCGTCCCTGGATCCGCCCTTGGAGCTAGGCTACCCCACAAGTGCTCTGCAAACTCAAGTGTATGCCAGGCATGCACTTCTTGGTGCATGCCTGCAGGCACACACTTCCTGGTGCATGCCTGGCAGGCACACACTTCCTGGTGCATGCCTCAGGCACACACTTGCCGTCGCTTATGCATGCATACAAGCAAGTGTGTGCCTGAGGCATGCACCAGGAAGTGTGTGCCTGCCAGGCATGCAGAAAAGAAGTGTGTGCCTGCAGGCATGCACCAAGAAGTGCATGCCTGGCACACACTTGAGTTTGCAGAGTGCGGAGACTGCAAAGTCAACACGTCCAAGCGCGGAGAAGCACTCCGCCACAGGGACTGTGGATTCCTTCACACCTGGTTTGACGTTGCTGGAACCGGGCAGCGACAACGTGCTTGTTTACACCTGAGTGAAAATAAATATCGATGCTGTTTGTCGTAGCAGGATTGGAAAGGGCACATGGCCACGGCGAGCTCGCATCTCTGTCGCCGGAACAGTAGCATTTTTTTTAAATCAGTAAAAAGTATTGAAACTGATTGAACGCGGAATTAAAATCGTCGGTTCGTTTCCACCACACTGGTGAAACAAAGACATTAAAATTAAACGATGACGTAACGACACCCCTGGAGCGGCGTGAATCGTTAATGCCTTTTGGAAGGGCATTACAAGTTTGCTTAAAAGTCCTCCCAAGGGCATAAAATGGTTTTCACCCCTAAAGGGCATAAAATGGAGTCCATTGAGGACGTCGACTATTGGTAGGCGGGGCGGGCTGCTCAAAGCTGGTCGCAGAAACCCATTTCCTGACGACCTGGCCACAATGGCATTCGGGGGACTGCTTGCCAGAGCTCGAACTTTTGCGAGGCATCTTGACTGGCTGGCCCGACTGGCGACCACACTCTTAAAAGCCTACGAAGCATTTGCTTCATAACTACGAAGAAAATTAAGAAAGCGTAGAATTGCCTCGTATTGTGAAGAAATGCTTAATATTACGAAGGATTTAAGTTTTTTTTCGTAGATTTGGCAGTGCGTTCATTTTCAGCACGATGCACAAGTGCGAGAGAGACAAAGCGACGGAAACGACTCGCGGAATCAGTCTGCAGCGATGTGTGGGTGGGTTGCCCTCGACACTGAGTGAGTGACACGCGTTTTGTCCCCTCTCTCGCTTGGCGCGTGGCGCCTGGCGCGACTCACTGTCGGTCGGTGTGGCGATACCCCTTGCCTGCCCTGCCGCCGTGTCGCCGCGGTGATTTATTCACCGCAGATTGAGACGGGCAGGTGGAATGGAACGGTGTCGATACCCCGCGTCACTGTCGACCCGCGTCACTGTTGCATTTTTCGACTGCCACTTGCCGCGCCGCGCCTCTACTGTGAAAACACGTGAGAACTCTGCACTTGAAAATGCAAAGGTGTGGAATGTTCAGTCTCCGCATTTGGAAGTGCAGAATTTTGCAGTGTCGACGCTGTAAGTGTAGAGTTCTCCTCATTAGCGCCATGGCTGGAGATATGGCTCTGTGATCTACTCCACACTTGAAGTGAGGAGACTGCAAACTCCACGCGTTCGCGCGGCTTTAGCACGGTTCCAAACTGGTATTCATGGTCTCTATTGATTTTGCACTAATAATGATCTCTTCCACATATTCTTTATTGCATGGTTTCTAATCGTCTGTTAAGCATGTTAAATTGGAGTTAAAACTTTCCTCAAGATCGCAGCAACTGGACATTTCCTCTTGCGCACCCATCTGTGAAAATTAAAGCGAAGCCTCCTCTTCCCCGGTACTGTCAGGCGACTTCAACAGCAACCCCAAGCCTCCGAGGGAGCCGAAGGGCCGAGGCCCTCGTCCGCCCCCTTCCAAGAGGGGTGGAGGCAACCCCGGCAGCTCCACCGGTAGCTCCAACAGCTCTGGCAGTGGCGTAGCCTTACCCGACAGCAAACAGGACAAGTCCGGTGAATGGCACGTCAGCCTGGCGCCAAGATTCCCCCTATCCGCCCCTATCTAAATGCATGGGGGAATTTCCAGCCAGAGTCTGCTCATGCGTACATAGGAAACATGCTTCTAAAGCTAACCAGGGGCAATACATGCCGCTACTGGGTTTACAGCTTTATGGAGTCAAGAGTCAAAAGCCATTCATGGCTTAACCTCTTACACATTACCACCGAGCAAGGTGGTCCATCCTGCTCCGTATGATTTCTCAAGTCCTGGATTGGGCGCCCAGCCACCTCCCGAGAGTTTAGGGCACCGCATGACAAGGAAGAATAGGATTCCCCGTGTGTGCGAGAGAGAGGAATAGCCTATTCTCATTCTCTCGGTAGCGACGACATGCTGGAAGCAGGAAAGTTATACATAGCCTTCGCTGGAAGAAACCCTTTCCTTCTCCCCTTCCTCCTCTCCCCACCCCTCTCGGGCGTCGGCCTTGCACTCCCCCCCCCCCCCCCCCCCCCCCCGAGTCCGCCGGGTGCGACGAAGTTTCTGCTACAACACTCGTGGAAATATCCTTTTTACTTTTGTTTGTGACCGTGATCCCCTCAAGAAAACTGACAGTAATTTGTCAAATTGGCAAGTTTTGTATTCTGTAATGTTTGATGTTATGAACTATTGTTAAATTTCTCTCCCTAGCCCTTTGTTCTTACCTCAGAAGGTTATGTTTACCTGATCTCTTGTGTATCAGAATCTTACGTCCGTGTAACACAAAGAAGAGAAGCTGAATGCTTTTGTAATTTATTTTAATTTTCTTGCAGACAATTATGGAGGGGCATTTCATGAAAGTGTGTTTGAGGGCTTGTTCGCTGTTGAGATGTAGCAATTTAAATATTGTTGCTGTATCTGCGGTAAGTTAAATGTAGCATGGTATGAAATATTGCATGTCACTAGACCAAAGGTGTGTCCTTTAAGTGCATACTTTCACTCCATTGTTGATCCCTTGGACATGATTTTACTAATTCCTGATTGATCAAGAAATTTTAAAAACCTTGAACTGCTACCTTTTTTTGTTTGCCTGGGACCTTATTTACTCCACAGCATTCTAATAATTTGACTAATGTTACCATTTAAATTAAAAATTTTCAGGTGGGCCAAAGAGCTGCTGCATCACAGCATGAAAGTGTTGTGAGGTTGTCCCGTATGCTGAGCTCGGACCATAGGAAACGTGTGATTGCAAGTAATAATGTTCCTGGTCGTCAGAACAGGCAAAATGGATTCCTTGAAAGTGTATTACCAAATCAGAAGCATTTGAGATTGAAACAGACTCAGAATCGCATAAGGGAAACTCAGGATAAAATTAAGAAAACTCAGCAGCGTTTTAAGGAGTCTAAACAACGCATCCTAAATGACATCAAGGACACTAAAACCATGATGAAAGAACGAATGGAAGACATTATAGAAGTAAGGCGCTTTTTTGCGGTTTGTTATGTATCTTTTGGTCGTAGAAAAACGGCTTTAATCTAGACAATGATCTTTTATTTCTAGCGTGAAAACATATATACCATACCTAATGTCTTATGTGTCACAAGAATTGTGTTTTCACCATACCTAGGATATTTAATTATTCAATCAGATTTCAATTTGGCACTTGGGCTGCTGGTTGTAGCAGGTGTTACTGATGCGGTGAGTTTTGTACCAACTGTTATTTATCATAAGGTCTGAAAATGAAGGATTATATTTTCACTTTTCTGCCAATTCTGCTTCTGTCCATCCAGCCTGCGTTCAGGGCCTTTTTAGTTTCACATTTATGATTTTTAATTGCAGTTAGATGGGTGGATTGCCAGAACATGGAAAAGTCAGTCCTCCAAACTGGGAAGCTTCTTAGACCCAATGGCAGACAAGGTTTTAATTGCGACACTGTTTCTTTCACTGACTTATGTTGATCTCATTCCCAGTAAGTAAACTAAGTCTCAGTCTCTGACCTTTAAATAGCATGTTTGAGAATGTTTGGTTTCTTTTGTTTCAGTTGCCTTAACTTCCCTGATAGTGGTTCGGGATGTGGCCCTTGTGGCTGCTGGGTCTTACATTCGGTACAAGTCCTTGCCAGCTCCAGTAAGCTTTTCCCATTACGGTTTCATTTTCAGTCCAAAGCTGGGTATGGCAAATAGCCCAGGAGTAAAAGGCTTTTAAGCTCTTGCCTCTTAAGGTGGATCATTGGAGCAAAAAATACGATTTAGTGGAATTTTTATTTTTTGTTTGTAAAAGGTTTTTAGCAGGATTTCACTCTGGGCAATGACACCAGCTTTGACTGATTTTTAAATTTTTGTTTCAAGTTAATCTTTCTAATACCCATTTTTGTTCACGTTCATCAGCATACATTCAGAAGATATTTCGATGCTACTCATGCAACTGCTCAGCTGGCTCCAACAAATATTAGCAAGTTTAACACAATGGTTCAGCTGGCATTGGTAGCATTCACATTAGGCGCTCCTGTCTTCCAGTATGTGGATCACGCAGCTCTCCATGGACTATGGTAAAACATTGTTTTTTTTTTTTAAATTGAATCAAACTATAAGTGATAACAATAATGTCGCGTGTATCCCTTTTCTATCTGTTCTTTACACTCTCTGGTTGCAAGGAGTAATAAAGTGACACATGTTAAGCCCAGTAAATACAGGACCATGAGAGGTAAAATTACTTTTCCTTGACTTATAGTCTTTGTTATCTCTAAAAAAATTTCTAACTTGAATTTTGTCAGACGATCTGTCTCCTCACAAGTTTGAGATTGTGTAGTTGACAATTTTTTTAAATAACTTACAAATGTGTCACATTGAGAAAATTTTATAGCATTGTAAGAGTCTGAGCCCTGTAACATTATTTGTCCAGTTTACAGTTAAAATATTGTTAAACGTGCATCATTATGCCACCGGCTGAGTGCAAAGGACAAACCATACTTGTGTTTTGCTCCTATTTCTAGCTTAATTGTTTTCAATGAATTTGTCTCATTTAGGTATCTAACAGCTGGAACCACTGTTGCATCTGCTTTGAGTTATGCATTTTCAAAAGGAACATACAAGTTTCTTAAAGTGAAGAGACCATCAAGATCATCAAAACCATCATAACAAGCCTGTAACTCTAAACTGCAGAAGCATATGATTGGATATACATGTACGTAAATTTTTGAGGTGATAAGAAATAGTTTTCTACAATCAGAGGAATGAGTTCTTACTTGACATTTATTTATTTCTTAGCATTAGAAGAGTTTATTATACATGTGACCAACATTAAAGTAATTAAATCATTTTAAAGAATGCCAACAACATTTTTCATGCCACTGATTTTTTTGTTTGTTGTGACTTTGATTTCTTAATATCACAGGCAAGAAAATATTTTTAAATGTCATGAAAACCCAATGGAGATGAAGCCTATTTACAAACTGATTAAAGACTTGAGATAAACTTTTAATTGCTGGCCATCCATCGTCCAACGTAATATTGCTCATACGCAAATTCTTCATTGTGGTTTTCATCTTTAATACAACCCACATAATCTATTTCTAGACTGAAAGGACCCTCATTCTGATCCATAAGAGTAATGCTGAAGTTTCTCACTTCCTGTAGCTCGATAGGGTATTGCTGATCGTGCATTCGTCCTTTGTGATGTATGAAGAATTTTGAGAAAGGTATCTGAAAAATAATACACGATCAGAAAGTATAACACATTAGGTATAGTAAAATATGTCATATTCAAGACTTACCAATGTTTCTTGCCAATATGGGCCTCCTCTCGTATGCAGGACATAAGAATGCAAATCCATAAAATTAAGATCAAACATGGTATGAGGGTGAAGATTGACCATGTATGTTCTACCATCACCTCTGATCCTCAAAGCCAAATGGGTGTATGCAGCAAACATGTATGTTGATTCACGATAAAACGAACGCTGTAAGCATATCAGATTTTCAATACAATAGATAAGTGAAAATGTAAAAATGATTCATAAAAAATCGTTGGTTGTACATACATGGGGAGGAACAAATCGCAGGTTGGCGTACCCAGCAATGTGAACTTGGCCTGTTTTAGGTATTCGGGTACTTATGTTTCCTGAAAATATTCCTGTCCCAGATGGTGAAATGGTGACATTGGCAGTCGAATAGCCTTGATCCCAGTCACTGTCACAAGTGGTAACCCAGTTATCGACGCTTTCAGGACTACCAAATTCAAAATACTTGTCAACAACACCGTCTGTCAAAATTTAAAAAAAGGGAGAGATGAAGAGGCATCAAAGAAGAGACGATAAATGGTTCATACTTAAAAATACAATACACTAAATAAACTCACCTTGAGGATACCAGCACTTTGGGGGGTCTTGAGAAAAGTAATCCTTAAGCTCCGTGATCATCTTTTTCGTTTCGGGTATAAGCATTTTTGCACCTCTCTTGAGGTGTTCCTTGTTACTCATAGGATTCGGGTCTTCTCTGTGAAATTCAGAACCACCTCTTCGGTCAGGTTCCCAAATAGTACCACCATAGTCTTTGCTTGAAACATGTAAACATCTTTCAGCAGATGGACTATGACTCTTGTTCCAAATAGAATGATCACCCCAACGTAACTTGCTCAGTCCACCATACACTCGATGAATATTGAAATTCACAGTTGGAAGTTTCATGTTAGTGATAGTCTAAGAAACCTGTGAAAGTAAAAAATTAATATACACTTCGCCCTTCGCCATAGCAAGAAGATTCTATTCTGAGGTTAAGTGCGGCTCAAGAAGGATTGTAATTATTTGAGCGATGTTACGTCACTGACATTTGTTCCACAAGAAAAAAATTAGAACTTGAGATTGAAAAAAATGAAATTGTGACACATACATTGACAAAATTACGCTTTTACGCGAGTAAATGTGACTCGCGAAACGCGAAGTCCTCCAGCAGACAGCCTGCGAGCCTCAACCACTATTTGCACGACCCGTTTGTTGTGTCTAGCTGTCTATAGCCCCTCTGCAACTATTTACAATCCGTTCCTAGGATTTGAATGAATTAAGTGCGGGTTAGCAAGGAGTGGTTACTTTACTCCGAGCTAGAATTTGTAAGTTTTGAATATTATTCGGATGGGGGTAGCGCTCTCTGAGGCTGGCAACCGCTATTAGCTAACGCTCTTAATTACTCTACAAATTTTTTTTCAAAATTTAGCAAAACGTTTTTCGAAATCAAGGCGAAAATCAGATTGGGCAACCGTATGACAAAAGTTCATGCTTCCACGCCACTATTACGCCGACTATTAAAAGCCCCTTTGTTACGCCTTGGTACTATAAACGATAGGTGAAAACCGAACACATTTACACCGAGTGCAGCGCGATTATCGGTTTTAATTCGTCAAATTGTGCATCTACCCTTCATGAGGGTCAAACCGCCTGGCATTTAGCAAAACGCCCCACTTTCCCGGAATGGGGAGAAAGTTTCTTCTGACCACCCATTCCATTCCCTCATTTGCTTGACAGATTGAGAGACATTATCTCCTGTTTTGTCGAATCACGGCGCTCGAAAACAGAGGGGCGACACGGTAGACTAACGATCATGCTTCCACGTCCACAGTTTTATTACAGTCCGAGGCAATGTGTCACAATCTTGCCACGTTTGTGTCACGTTCCTTGGAATATCGTGTCGCATAAACGGGACTCAGGTTTGGAAAAAGGCCGAATCACATTCCTCGATCACCAAGAGATGCAGCGCGATATCCACCTGTTTTGGAATTCGTCAAATTGTGCCTCCCCACCCTCCATGTGGGTTAATCCGCCTGAGCAGCAGGCAAAAAGCCACACTTTGCCCCGGAAATAGGGCAGAAAGTGCTACTTTGCCGACTTTGGCCTTCCCTCAGTGCGTTGACAGATTCCGAGAGTCGTTTTCGTCGCTGTGTCTCTCGCTCTACGGGCGCTCTGGAGCGAGCGAGAGACAGACGGACGAGACGGACTCTCGGTCTGCTGGCCTGCTGACCGGCTGGATGGCCGCCGCCGGCCCTCCCTGTCCCTGGGTCCGTGACTGGCCGCCGCGAGCCGCACGCGAGCCGAGCCGCCGCGCCGCCCCTCCCCGGCGGATTTGTGCCGATGGCGGCAAATGCCGCCCTTGCGCACTCGGCTCCCGGTCGGCGCGGAGCGCGGTGTGCTGCGCAGTGCTGCGCCGGTGCTGCCCTCGATGGGGAAGGGGATGCCAGGGAGAGCCAAACCGGCGGGGAAGCGGCTCGAGCGTCCAAAGCGGCGGGGCTCCGCTAGCGTCGGGATCACTTGCGAGCCTACGCCGCGCCGGGACAGAGGCGACGGTGCCGATCGTGCCGACTCCCGCGAGGACGTTCGCGGGTCGCGCCTGTCGCGCCTGTCGCGCCTGTGGCGCCTGTCGCGCCTGTCGCGCTGCTCTTGGGTGTCTCTGACCTGCATCCTGAGCATCGTCCTCTTCCTGCAAGTTCTCGTCGCCGTCGCCGCCTCCGCCGAGTGGCTCCGACAGCGCTCGTTGATGCTCGATTACTGTTGCGCGCGACTCAATCGCGAGCACAAGTTCGGTAAGGAACCAAACACAGTCAGGGGCGGATCCAGAGCCGGCATGAGGAAGGGCAGAGTAGAATATTTTGCCTGCTTACTGGGGCAAAGTCGAGGGGCAAGTCTCTTGTGTACTCATGTGTGCAAATCGTCCCGTACTCAGTGTTACTCACAGGTGTAAAACGAGCAAAATTCGCCAATTATTTTGCCCGATTTGGCGTTGTGTATCGTCTGCAACGTTTAAAAATGTGAACTTTATGAGTTTGGTCAGAGGCGGGCTGTGTATTTTACCACCAAATTCCTTTGTACAATTTTTGTGCAAATTTGTGCGATTCCTAATGCAAATTTGTGCGAAACCTGGTTTAAAATTGTGTGAGAGCACGTACATAATTGTACACAGACATTTGGCGTGTAGGAAGGCGGTACATATTTTACCGTCTTTGCTCCACCATGTGTAGTACCGCCGACAGATTTTGAGTGTTGCATAACATTCGTCTCAGTGAATCAATTGTCATCATGAGTGATGTAAATGCCATCTACGATTCTGTCATGAAATGAAAACAAATTTTTACAGTCAGTGCATCTGGGGTGATCTGGGGACTGAGGTTTAAAGGAAATTACCGCATTAACAGATTCGCAAGTTGCGGAGAGTGGGGGAGTGGAACAGTTGATACAGTCCTTGCTCCCTCACCCTAACCTACCCCAATCCACCCTCCTTGCCCTACGCCGCCCTACCACACACCACCCTACCCCACCCCTGCGCCCACCTGTTAATCTGTAGGAATCTGCGTCAATCTGTTTGCCATATTAACGTGTTTATTTCCTAAACTCGGTGCAGGTCCAAACGGCTGCTGCTGATGACTCCGCTGTCGCCGCAGTCGCTGGGTTGGGCGGAGAGTAGCCAGGCGTGGCGGAGCGAGGCGGAGGGTGGCGGAGTGGCGCTGCCTGGGGCGTGCGTCGCGGCGTGGGCCGCGGGGCGCAGGCCTCAGTGGGGGAATCCCGGCCGTACCGGAGACGGTCATCAGGGACCCCGGCCAGGTCGGCGTCCAGGTGAGCATCAGGACCTGCATCGCAAATTCGATCGTTGGTTAGGTGTTTAGGCCAAGCGTATCAAAGCTTGAGCTGTTACTCGCAAAATGTGCGAGGCTCAGCAGCCCAGTTTTTGTAGAAATTTTGTAGGAGACATCACAGGTTTTTTTTGTGCACACGAACTTTTCGTACAAACTTGTACGCGGTTTCGTACAAAAACAGGGAAATATGTGCAGTTTTTCGCACAAAAAATGTAGAAAAGTTCGTGTGCACAAAAAACTGCGATGTCTCGTACTAAATTGTACATGACATTTAGAGTACACTCCAGTGGCGCTCCGTTTTGAATGCCAAAATTTGACCTTCTGGGCTGTGGGAACGACAGGGTTCGGCACTCCAGCGTTCTCAAAACGGCGTCCGAGCCCAGGAGGCCAAATTTTGGCATTCCAAGCGGAGCGCCACTGGAGTAGCAAGGAAACTTACCCATGGATTGCAGTGTGGTGCCGGTTTCGGAAGTCCCATATTTACCTTGGTTTGCTATTTTTTTTTACCAGCTTCCGAACGTGGTGTCGCACTCGAGGGCGCAACCCAGAGCGCGAGGACCAGACCCATCCATCCATCCAGACATCCAGCCAGCCAGCTAACCAGCCAACCAGCCAAGCAACCAGCCAGGCGCCCAGCCAGCCAGCCAGGCATCCATCGAGTCAACCCGGCAGCCAGCCAGGCATCCGCCCAGCCCGCCCCGCATCCATCCATCTATTCATCAATCAATCCAGGCAGCCAGCCAGGCACTCATTCAGCCAGCGACCCAGCCATCAAGCTATCCAACCAGGCATCCATCTATCCAGCCAGCCAGGCATCCAGCCAGGCGTCCAACCACCTTTCTATCCAGATCCATCCATCCAACCAGCCAGCCATCCATCAGCCCACCCGGCCAGCAGACAGTGGCAAGAGGTAAATGACTCGGGCAACACTGCGAACACTCTCTTTATTTTGTTCCTCTCTGTCATGCCGACAATGAAGGAATCAAAACGCGCGACGGGCGCGAATGCCAGTCACGTGTTCCACAGCGCCTGCGAAGGAGAGGGTAGGCAGTGCCGCGGAACGGGCAAGGATGGCGGGCTTGCCTATCCGGTGTTCCAGAGGCGCCTGCGAAGGAGAGGGTAGGCAGTACCGCCGAACAGGCAAGGTAGGCGGGCTTGCCTATCCACTGTTCCACAGGCGCTGACGGAAGATGAGGACTATTATTACCGTGTGCTGCAGCGCGTCTGCACAGCAGACAACTCCGTAGTTGTATACGGGAAATGTACGGAGGGCACGGTAAAAGTATTATGTGCGCAACTCCCTACGGGTCGGAAAACACGAATGAAATCCCCCAAGTTGGCAAGGTGTGGGGCAGTGCAGATAAATAGTTGACCAGACATGTGCCGTACTTTTTCTGCTCTGTTTTCAACATTCATTTCTTTTTCTACTTTTTCTCCACTTCTCTTTTACTTTTTCTGCACACTTTCCTATCAGCAAAGCCAGGCTAGAGTGCGCGCAGCTTGACCGTGCATTTGTATAGAAGCTCCCCGCGTCGAAAACTGAATTAGAGCGGACAAAGGAAATCCAATATAAACACGCAGAGGCCTACTCTTGTCTGCGCGGCGGAGTGCCCCGCCACCACTGCAGTGTAGTGGCACTGTTTGACGTGTTCTTTTTCTCGTGTTGCAGCATGCGTCGGCCGGAGAGGCAGACCCTGGTGTAGGCGACACCAGGTGAGTGGGGCGGCCGCAGTTGGGGTTGCAAGGGTTGCAACGTGAGCGAGGGGCGCGCCTCGCTCCATCAGTGGCATGCGCAGAAATTTTGAAAAAAAGAGGGGGGGGTGTCAGGCCGTACTGTTTGCCTTCTTACGGGGGAAATGTGACGCAATTTGCCTACCTTCCAGGCGGCTGTCTTGTGCCGGGTGGTCTCTCTCCCTCTCTCTCTCTTCCTCTCTCTCTCTCTCTCTCTCTCTCTCTCTCTCTCTCTCTCTCTCTCTCTCTCCCTCTCTCTCCCCCCTTCCCCCCCTTTTTTAGCCTGCACCACTGCGCTCCATGGATGCGTCCCACGCACAGTCGGCCAGAAGGCCGCTGCGGGCGGCCAAAGTCCCGGACGACTTTTAAGCTCCAAAGCCGCTGTACAGTACTTGAACCGCGTGATCTCGCTAAGGGTTTCCTCGTTCGGAGACCGATCCTTTGGTGGGCCCAACCGTTCGATCCAAGTCCTGTTTAGCGACTCTGGAGCTCAAAAGCCGTCCGGGATTTTGAACACCTCCTCGGGCCTACGGTGCGCCTGTGAAGTAGAGGGTACACGCTTATCATCTTACGTTGGTTTTCGTGCGTAATACGATGATTTTCCATCGTAAGGTACGACCAATTTCCAACCTGCATAATACGCACGAATGTGAACGTAAGGTACGCAGGATTTTCAACGTAATACGCATGTTTTCAACGTATTACGCACGTTGTTAACGTAAGGTGCGTTGATTGCGATTGTAGTACGATGACATTTCAGCGTAATACGCATGTTTTGATTTCAGCGTATGTTACGTTCGCGTTACCATCGTAAGATGATAAGTGTGTAGGTAGTGCCGCAGAACAGGCAAGGTGGGTGGGCTTGCCTACCCGGCGTTCGACAGGCGCCAGTGAAGGTGTAGGGTAAGGAAGGCTCGTGCGACAGGCGCGGGCTTAAGTTTTGGCGGTAGCGGCCTGAACTAAGCAAAACACTATTCCTGGAGTAGAGGGTTGGTGGTCCAGACTCCGGGGCTGCGGGCAGCAAGGCGGGCAGCAAGGCGGGCAGCAAGGCGGGCAGCAAGGCGGGCAGCAAGGCGGGCAGCAAGGCGGGCAGCAAGGCGGGCAGCAAGGCGGGCAGCAAGGCGGGCAGCAAGGCGGGCAGCAAGGCGGGCAGCAAGGCGGGCAGCAAGGCGGGCAGCAAGGCGGGCAGCAAGGCGGGCAGCAAGGCGGGCAGCAAGGCGGGCAGCAAGGCGGGCAGCAAGGCGGGCAGCAAGGCGGGCAGCAAGGCGGGCAGCAAGGCGGGCATAGCAAGGCGGGCATAGCAAGGCGGGCATAGCAAGGCGGGCATAGCAAGGCGGGCATAGCAAGGCGGGCATAGCAAGGCGGGCATAGCAAGGCGGGCATAGCAAGGCGGGCATAGCAAGGCGGGCATAGCAAGGCGGGCATAGCAAGGCGGGCATAGCAAGGCGGGCATAGCAAGGCGGGCATAGCAAGGCGGGCAGCAAGGCGGGCAGCAAGGCGGGCAGCAAGGCGGGCAGCAAGGCGGCAGCAGGCGGCAGCAAGGCGGGCAGCAAGGCGGGCAGCAAGGCGGGCAGCAAGGCGGGCAGCAAGGCGGGCAGCAAGGCGGGCAGCAAGGCGGGCAGCAAGGCGGGCAGCAAGGCGGGCAGCAAGGCGGGCAGCAAGGCGCGCAGCAAGGCGGGCATAGCAAGGCGGGCAGCAAGGCGGGCAGCAAGGCGGGCAGCAAGGCGGGCAGCAAGGCGGGCAGCAAGGCGGGCAGCAAGGCGGGCAGCAAGGCGGGCAGCAAGGCGGGCAGCAAGGCGGGCAGCAAGGCGGGCAGCAAGGCGGGCAGCAAGGCGGGCAGCAAGGCGGGCAGCAAGGCGGGCAGCAAGGCGGGCGGCAAGGCGGGCGGCAAGGCGGGCAGCAAGGCGGGCAGCAAGGCGGGCAGCAAGGCGGGCAGCAAGGCGGGCAGCAAGGCGGGCAGCAAGGCGGGCAGCAAGGCGCGCAGCAAGGCGGGAAAGCAAGGCGGGCATAGCAAGGCGGGCAGCAAGGCGGGCAGCAAGGCGGGCAGCAAGGCGGGCAGCAAGGCGGGCAGCAAGGCGGGCAGCAAGGCGGGCAGCAAGGCGGGCAGCAAGGCGGGCGGCAAGGCGGGCAGCAAGGCGGGCAGCAAGGCGGGCAGCGACTGGCGAAGGCAGGCCGCGCGCCTGCGGGTGCACTGCCAGTCCAAGTGTGAGACAGTCTCACACTATTTAGTGCGAACCACGATGTCTCACGCTTACAAGTGTGAGCTACGTTTGTCCCACGCTTTGCAAGCGTGAGACATCACGCTTACAAGTGTGATCACACTTACATCACACTTAAGTGTGAGACACGGTTTGTCCCACACTTACTGCCTATGGTTCCCTGAGGTTTAATGCCAAAGGACCCACGCTCGTACGTGTGAGACAAACCGTGTCTCACGCTTGTAAGTGTGAGACATGCCGTGTCTCACACTTGCAAGTGTGGGACACGCGAGGCTCACACTTGTAAGCGTGAGACATCGTGGTTCGCACTAAATAGTGTGAGACTGTCTCACACTTGGATTGGCAGTGTGGCAACGCCTTGCTGCGGACCGAGGGCCGTTTCCCTCGCTCTGTCTCTCTCGCACTCATTGGTCAGGTGCGAGAGAGACAGAGCGACCCTCGGAATGGAGGCTCCGCCCGCTCGCTTCTTCTGTCGCTCGGTGACGCGTGCCAGGCAGCCTTTCTCGCTCGAATATGATTGAGCAACTTTTCGAGGTTATTCCGAATCCAACCGAATGAGGCCGAAAAACTCTTGATTGGCGATTCGTGTTGAAAAGAATGTGACGCACTAATTGGACGGGAATACTTATTGGTATAAAAAGTGCAGTTTCCTGGGCTATTGTGACCGTCTATTGTCTTTACGGAATGATGACGATACGATGTTCCCCTCCCGGGCCCCGAAGCCAAACGAACTCCAGCCAGACTACGCACACAGCAGACCGATTCCGGGAGTCGTTCCCGTCGCACTGTCTCTCTCGCACTCGTGGGGTGACCTTATAGATGCGAGCGAGACAAAAGCGACTCTCGGAATCGGCCCGAAGTCTGAACTGGATGCGGCAGCGCCAAGCGCCAGGCCCCGCGGCCCCAAACGCCCCGCGCGGCTGCCCTTCTAGGAAGCAGCCGACCGACAGAGAGACAGTCCGTCCAGAGGGCCGTGGTGTGGGGCCCATCGAGCCAAGCGCGGATCCAGCCAGGGGGAGGGGGGGGGCAGGTGTCGTTTTCCCCTTCTATGCCACCTAGATACCGCCTGAAAGGTAGAAAAAAAGCCCTAATTTGCTCCTGTAAGTAGGAAAATGTGCTACTGCGTCCCCCAACACACACCACACACACACACACACACACACACACACACACACACACACACACACACACACACACACACGTCGCCTGTGGATCCGGTGGCCACTCCCACGGCCAGCCCGCACGGTGAAAACGGTACCTGGTTTTCCCAGGAAGCCTATGGTAGAGACATAGGCGATTTCCAGGGAGTTCCTGGGAAAACCAGGAACCGTTTTTACCGTGCGACAGCTATAGGGTGGTGTGTGTCGTTTGGATTTCAAACGTCATTTCCACGAAAAGCGCCGAGGTTCGCGCCGCGCCCACCGCGTGGGAAAGACGAGGGCGAATTCAAAGTGGGGCAACAGGTCTTTTGCTTTGCCCCTGCAGGTTGGCAATTAGAAGGGCTTTGCCCCCCCCCGATCGGGCTCTGGATCTGCCCTTGCCCTAGGCAAGTGTTCGCCGTGAAACCAAAGTCTACGCCACACTTGAAATGCGCAGTTTGTGGAATTTGCAGTGTCCGCATTTGGAATTAAAGAGCAGAGCTTGAAGTGACCGCTCTTCTAGCGCGCTCAGCGCGGAGTTCTCTGCTTTTGCACCATGTCAAGAGACAAGTGCTCTGTGAGCTACTGTATTGCACTCAAAAAAATTTCAATACAAAATTCTGTAACATGGTTACGCAGTTCACTGGTTTTTTGACAAAGAGGCGTAAGTCCACTGAACCAAATTTTTCAGGACGGCCAAAAAACATACAGTTTTTAGCTCCTAAGATCTATAAATTCCCACACAACACTCAAATTTTTGTGACAAATTCTTTGAGAAAGTGTGCATCTTTTGGTAAAAATCTCATGTGTGTAACTCTTTTGTAACTCCTACAATGTCAGAAAAACCCTTCCAAATGAGGTGTGATTTTTGACAAAGAGGCGTAAGTCCAGGTGGATTTTTGACAAAGAGGCGTAAGTCCAGGTGGTTTTTTGACGAAGAGACGTAAGTCCAGGTGGATTTTTGACAAAGAGGCGTAAGTCCAGGTGGTTTTTTGACAAAGAGGCGTAAGTCCAGGTGGATTTTTGACAAAGAGGCGTAAGTCCATTAGCCATTCTGACAAACAGGCGTAAGTCCATAGGCCATTCTGACAAACAGGCGTAAGTCCACAGACTATCCCGATAAACTAGTTCAGATTTGTAATTAACCACTTACGAATGTCCACAGCTAATGTGGTGAAAATGGCGAATGTCCACTCATGAGGTCACAGAGTGGTTTGCAACATGTCAACACTGTTTTAATCAAAAAATAATGACTAATGGTTCCTCTCATCTCAATCCCCTCAGGCTAACAATACATATCTCAAAACGGACTCTTAAATATTTGCAAGGGGTATCAGATCTAAAAGACCAGCATTCTTCGTCACCTGAGTCCGATGATGATGGTGAAACCAGAGTCCGATGACGATGGTGAATGTTGCATTCGTCTTCTTAGGCAGCACTTGGCCTAAAAGTCATGGGCCCAACACAGAGTGTGCTATATGGAGGTTATCAGCATGGATGAGTCCAGGTTCTCCCCTGCTGCAGAAGATTAATGCGCCAATCACCATCTCCATCGGACTCCGGTGAGGAAGAATGCTGCTCTTTTAAATCTGATTACCCTCGCAAAGATGTAAGAGTCCATTCT